AGGCAGGCAGATAACAAGATAAGGAGATTGAGACCATCCTGGCTAACACAGTGAAACCCCACCTCTGCTAAAAATACAAAATATTAAAAAATTAGCCGGGCGTGGTGGCACATGCCTGTAGTCCCAGCTACTCAGGAGGCCGAGGCAGTAGAATGGCTTGAACCCAGGAGGCAGAGGTTGCAGTGAGCCAAGATTTCGTCATTGCACTCCAGCCTGGCAACAAAGCCAGACTCCATCTCAAAATTTTTAAAAAAATCTAGTGAGTATTTTACACTTAGAGCACATCTCAACTTAGATGCAAAGTCTCAGCTACTTGGGAGGCTGAGGCAGGACAATAGCTTGAACCTGGTAGGCAGAGATTGCAGTGAGCCAACATTGTGTCATTGCATTCCATCCTGGATGACAAAAGTGAGACTCTGTCTCAAAAAAAAAAAAAAAAAAGAAAGAAAAAAACACACACATTGGTGTCAGACATGTTGGGAGTGGAAACCAGTTCCTAATCTTTATCCCAAGTGAACTCTTCCCCCAAAACCTCTAGTACAGAGAACGCTCTGATGCCATGTGGGAGGTCAGATGAGCACTCTGTGGCTCTGCTCAGCCTCTCTCCCTGGCATCCTCAGGGCTTGCTCCATGGGCTCAGGAGCAAAGTGGCCGGAGGTGGGCTACACCAGCTACGTCACTGATGAATGCCCACCTAGCTGGCAGTAGCAACTGCCGAGCCCCCAGTGTACAGTTTCCTCGGAAGACCAAAAAGCTAAATACCTGGGCCCATGAGGATTACACTGGAGCCTTTTCATCACAGACTGGGCAATGAGTTTTTCCTCCCTAGAATAAACAATTCTGGGTTTGTTATTTGCTTTTCTTGCCCTTTGCACTTCTGCCAGCAGCATCTGTGTATGCACTGAATGGCCCTATTCACCCTCGTGTTGTCCCACACAGTATTGCTTCTGCTCAAGGAGCTCCATTTATTAGGAGGAAGCCAGTGGGGAGCAGTCCATATACCCCATTACCCCAAAGCAGCCAGCCTCATGGAACAGAGGCACGACCTGATTGAGACTGGGTTACACTGCCAGTTTGGAGTCATCATCTTTGGGGTTGGGGTGCTGTTTTACAGGATGGGTAACCCTCTGAACCAGGGGTACATCCCAGAGGATCCCAGTTTACAAAGACCTGGGAACTCAAGAGTGCTATTTCTTTCTCTTTTTTTTGAGATGGAGTTTCACTCCTGTTGCCCAGGCTGGAGTGCAAAGGCATGATCTCAGCTCACTGCAACCTCCGCCTCCCGGATTCAATCGATTCTCCTGTCTCGGCTTCTGAGTAACTGGGATTACAGGCACACACCACCACGCCCGGCTAATTATTGTGGTTTTAGTAGAGACAGGGTTTCGCCATGTTGGCCAGGCTGGTTGGGAACTCCTGACCTCAGGTGATCCTCCCGCCTTGGCCTCCCAAAGTACTGGGATAATAGGCATGAGCCACCGTGCCCAGCAAGAGTGCCATTCCTTGCGACCACACCCAGTGACACACTTCAAATTTTGGTTTGTTTTTTTAATTTTATTTTTTTTACAAAGACGGGGTTTCACCATGTGGGTTAGGCTGGTCTTGAACTCCCAACCTCAGGTGATTCGCCCACCTTGGCCTCCAAAGTGCTTGGATTACAGGCGTGAGTCACCACACCCGGACTGTTTTGTTGTTTTTTGTTTTGAGATAGGGTCTTGCTCTGTCGCCTAGGCTGGAGTGCCATTGCCATCTCGGCTCCCTGCAACCTCTGCTTCCCAGGTTCAAGTGATTCTCCTGTCTCAGCCTCTTGAGTAGCTGGGATTACAGGCGACACCCCCACACCCGACTAATTTTTTTGTATTTTTAGTGGAGGAGGGGGTTTCACCATGTTGGCCTGGCTGGTCTCGAACTCCTGACCTCAGGTGATCTGCCTGCCTCAGCCTCCCAAAGTGCTGGAATTACAGAGGTGAGCCACTGCGCCCCGCCTTCACTCTTCAGATGTTTGCTTCCTCTTCCTGCTACCCTGAATTCTGCTGTTGAGGGGTTCTAGCGTCTACAGGGGAACCGCTGCCACCACAAGGAAAACACAGTAAGTTTTGTAAGTGGAGACCACCCTTGGGCTGTTTTGGGTACCTCGAGTGTGTCACTATGGGGTCAGGCGGAGTGACTGATTTAGGGGAAAGTTTTGCTGCTACACTTGGGGCCAAGGAGACCTATGACTAGAACCCAGGGGCGGCGCAGGGGAGTCTCCAACTAACACCACGTCCCCACTCCCTATCTGTCCACAGCCCTCCCTCCTTAGACAGGGCCTGACCTGGGCGAATTGGGGCCTCCTCCCCTATGCAGGGCACAGAGTAACAAAGAGGGTCTGTGCCCCCTTTCCTTTGCAGAAACACAAAAAGTGTGCACACAGGTTCTACCTTCCTCCTCCTAGCCCCCGCCCCCACTCCTGCAGACCTCCCCCTTCCTGCAGGTCCCCCTCCGGCCCCTCCCCGCTCCGTAGCGCACGCAGACGCGGATCCCCAGCGCCCAGACCCCATCCGACCGCTCCCTTAGCCACTTGCGCGGCTTCCACCCCTGGGCTCGGCCTCAAAGCCTCCTCAGTTGGCGGCCTGGAAGGTGCCCAGCGGCGGCCGCGCCAGACGCGCCCCGTTAGCTCAGCGTCGCGGAGCATCCGCAGCCGCCACCAGGCCCCGCCCAGCGGCCGCCGCCAGCCAGGCCGCGCCCGGGAAGACTGCAGAGCTTGGTGAGTGAGCGCGGCCAGAGGGAGGGACTCAGGCGCCCCGGGTCCCCGCCCTGCACCTCCCCGGGGGCCTGACATCCCGACCTTCAGCTCCCTCTTTTTCTTTTGGCTCTGGCAGTCTGTTTCAGGGACACAGAGCCGCCTTTAAAAGACGCTCCCGGCAGCCCTGCCCTGGCCTGGGGCTCCGGGCCCACCGGCCCCTTGGATCCCTTCCTCTCTTGCAGGATCTGGGAATCCAGAGCCCCTAGCCCCAGCTCCAGCCCCATCCTCATTAAAATTCTAAGTCCCTCCCTCCATCCAGAAGTCAGGAATGTAGGCCAAAAATATCTGCCTTCCAGACCCAGGCGGTTCGGCTTGCAACTTCTGCTCTGAAAACCGAAGAGCCTGAGCTTTGATGGTTCTATTATTATTATTTTTATTTTTAATAGGGCAGGGCCTCCTTGTGTTGCCCAGGCTGGTCTTGAATTTCTGGGCTCAAGGGATCCTCCCTCCTCAGCCTCCCAAAGTGCTGGGATTTCAGGCGTGAGCCACCGCGCCGCAGCCTGATTGTTCTTTTGAGCCAAGATTCTGGGCCTCAGCCTAGGAGTCCTGTGCAGCCCCGGAGTCCGAGCCCTCAACTCCTACCGCGCTAGCCCCCAGGAATTTTGCCCCCAAAACACCCCACCCCTATTCACTGTGATATCTGAAACCTTCGTCCAGCCCGAATCCCTTACCCCGGGGAGCCTGGTGCCAGTGGGGACTAGGGGAGCATTTTGCTGCCCTTTCAAGATCCTTAAATACAGGAATCTAGCCTCTGTTTCTTGGGGGGACCCAGCAAGCAGGCATCGTAGCCCAGAACCACCTAAAGCCCAGGAATACTGCTCTCAATTCTCAGGGCTCCAGGAGACAGAGATCCTAGCCCACAAACCCCCTTAAACTGAGGAGCCTGTTCCCCCAATCCGCTGAGACCAGGTGTCCAAGGTTTCATCCAGCAAGGCAGGGGTGGAGGCGGAACACACCAGGAAGGAGGGGGCAGGAAGGGAGCGGGAGAATTGAGTGAGACGGGGGTGGGGACCTGAGCTGGGGGGCTCCGTTCTAAACAAATCCTAAACATGCGGGTTCCTATGGTAACCGTCCTTCCTTGCCTACCCTGGAGACTCCTCCAGGGCAGTGTCGAGGAGGGCAGCCCCCAGGAGTCCCCACGCCGCCAGCTGTTGTGTCTTCCTGTTTTGTCACCAAGGCAACGGTGACCTCAGCCCTCCAGTCGGTGCTCTGGGGTGGGGCGGGAGCTCCGCGTTACAGCGTTCCCCGCGAGGGGCGTGGCTTCCTCTTGACCCCGCCTCGGGGCGGGGCTGGGATAGCCCAGGCTCGGGGAAGTCCCCTGTCCACCGCCCTAGCCTGGAGCCGCGCCCTGCCCCGGCCCCACCCTCGGCCCGCCCGCGCTCGCTCCCTTGGCCGCCAACCCCACCCAGAGCACAGACCCTTCCAGCTGCAGCTGTCGTCTTTGCTTCAGCCGCAGTCGCCCCTGGCTGCCTGAGGTGAGGTTGTGGGGACCCCAGAGGGCGGACGCAACAGTCTAGGTTTTTATGGCCAGAGGGAGGAATGGGCAGGGTCCCAGAATGTCTGGGTTCTTAGAGAGATGGGCTGGGTTAGGATTCCTGGGGTTCTGCAGACGAGAGGGCTTGAGGACCTGGACTCTGCAGGTCAGACGTCTGGAAGAAGGAGGAACGGGACCTAGACTCCTGGGTCTGAGGGAGGAGGGGCTGGGGGCCTGGGCTCCTGGGTCCGAGGGAGGAGGGGCTGGGGGCCTGGGCTCCTGGGTCCGAGGGAGGAGGGTCTGGGGGCCTGGGCTCCTGGGTCCGAGGGGGGAGGGTCTGGGGGCCTGGGCTCCTGGGTCTGAAGGAGGAGGGTCTGAGGGAGGAGGGGCTGGGGTCTGGACTCCTGGGTCTGAGGGAGGAGGG